TTGATTTAAAATAACTGTTTAAATTTTGTTTGAAAATCGTTTCAAATAGAAGAGTTTTTAGAGCATGGAAATCTAATATGACCTTTTTACTAAAGAAAAGCTGGCAAATAATCTAGGTATAATAATAATAATACATCACACATCCCACACACAGCCGTCTGATCCCAAACTAGGCAGAGCCTGTGCTATAATAACCAGTCTGCTGATAAACATACTTATATATATTTAAAAACATAAATATTATAGATAAATTACACCCAGACACAGAACAAACAATCGTGCTCATCACACAATATTTGTCCTGGGTGGGAATCGAACCCACGACCTCCGGCTTAGCAGTCAGGATCACTAACCACTAGACCAACAGGCCCGTCAAAGGTATGTACTTAAATATGAAATATTCATGTTTGTGTAAACCAAGATAACAACATCACTTTCGATGTTCAATACTGGTTTGTCAGAACAGTTACACACCGTTGTGTGTTGTGTCTAATTTAAAAAAATAACCACATCCGCGTAGAAACTAGCGTTGTATTGCAAATTGCTGCTAATGAAATATCGTCATTCATTCATGTGATCTTGTAGTACTATCTCAGTGACTTTACGATTGTAAGTTGACTTATTAACATAGAGTACTCTGGATATACGTATTTAAGCGATATATTATGATTACACGATAATGAATAGAGTGACGTACCGTTTGTTATAGGTAATTTTAGTCTAAATTTAATTTTTCAAAGACGCCCGGATGGCTTAGTGGTTGGTGTAACGGACTGCAATTCCAAAGGTCGCGGGTTCGATTCCCGCTCAAGTTAAACATTTGTTTGCATGAACATTTAATGTTTGATTTGGTCTGGGTGTTTCTATGTAAAATGTGTTTGTATTTACAAATAAAGTATATATGTATTTATATCAGTTGTCTAGCACCCATAGTACAATCTCTGCTTAATTTGGGACTAGATTGCGTTGTGAATGTGAAAAAAAAAGTAAAATTCTAAAATTATTGTTATCACCGAAGTAGTACTGATACTCAAGTATTTTTTCTGTAAAAACAAACTAAATTGAATCGTAGAGCTCATTTAGTATAAAAAAAACTCAATTAATTACATTGAATAGCTGCCAAAGTCTTATAGATTACAAACATAATTTAAATAAATGAATACATTTTGAATGTTGTCTAGATTTTATTTAACAAATGCAAATATATATTTTAAATAAACGTTTCTAATACTTAACATACTGTTACAAATATTGCAAACATAAATTCACGAAACGGTTTGACGCAATTCATTACCGCACAGTACGCGTATCGTCTCTGAAGTTGTCAACTTATATTATGCGTATGCAAATTGAGAAAGTGTTCATAGCTATATATTATACAGGATGTTGTTACATAAACAGTTCTAACAGCTAATTTTATTGCCTCATAAGCGTTGACCACTCGGAAGTTCGGTGGGAACGGAAGTGGGCTATTTAAAATGAAGGTAGTGTTGATTGAAAACTGGTTTGACATCCACTTCGATACATTAGAGGAACTTTGAGAAAATCTGATTAATAAAGTAGTGGTTAGTGGCATCGCTTTCGATAATAGCTTAGTACAAATATTTACGTCTATTTACTTAGTTTTTGGGGTTTTTAAATACTGCACGGATGGCGTTGAGTGTTGTGGGTCCGATCCCCACATGGGACGACACTTTGTGTGATCCACAAATTGTTGTTCTGACTCTGGGTGTTTTTAAACTAATAATAATAATAATAATTTGGCAAAAAGCTTAAGATAGTCTCTTTTGTGGCCAGGCCCCTGCCTGACACCAACTCTGTGTGGTCACCAAATCTGATCATTTTCAGACGGGACGAACAGTCATTCGCGAATTGGATAAGGCGATATAGCTAGGGTAATGGATACCACAAGTTCTAGAGACTGCGCTAACTACGGGACTTTTAATTCCAAATAATGATAGAACGTAAAAAAAATGGTCTCCAAGTACAGAATTTATTAAAGAATTATCAAGAATATAGGTTGTATTGCCTGTTTGAAATTAAACCTGTCTTGCTAATCTTGGCCAAACCTTTATCAAACAGAAAAAAGTCGTAAATCTAAACTGAAATTTACTTAGTCACGACATTCCTTAATTATGTAAAACCGTATAAACCCATAACTGTTCAAATATTTGTGTCAAATCAAGCAACAACATCCTTTTTCGAAAAGAGAGAAAAAAGAAATTTCACTTCACACGCGTTCCTGTGTCCGGTTTACTTCCAACGCTTTTCTTTAAAGCAAATTACAAAAATAAATGTGCTGCGTAAAACAATACAAATGAAATATTTTAAACTCTATGGTCATAGAAATATAGGTGAAGATGCTAAACTTTGTAATATCATAGCAGTAAATATCAATATGTACGATAAACAAGGCAAATACCTGTTCCATGTTTTAATTGTTAAACTATTTTGATCCTTACCACTTCGACATAAAGTCTAATAAAATCATCAAGAATAAATACTCTCGTAAAGGTGTGTGAACTCTAGACGTGGTTTACTCGAACAAATTTAAAATTAACAGCTTTAATTGGTTATATGAACTCTTAAGTTCAACTGGCGTAAGGCAGTTTTTTCTTTGTAGGTCGGTAAATAGGTGCAGGGTTTGAGTGGTCATTAAGTGTACGAGAATAAAGTGGGGGAGGTTACATAAAATACATGAGAGACAGAAAGCCGGTGGGCCTAGGGCGACGGCAGCGAAACCATCTCATTGATGACTAATTAACAATCACACAGGTCGTTACTTTAATGACCGTGTTGTCATAACACATAGGACTTAGATTTACTGAGGTTCTAATAAATTTTCAAAGTTCACCCAGTCTTAGAAGAGTTATACTAAAGTTAAAGTTAAAGTGAAAAAATTACGCTTTTGTTGTTTAATTTTAATTGAAAAATTACGCTTCTCTCATTTAATTATACTAAATATGTATTTAGATACCATTCTGATCTGATAATGAATTAAAAATTGTTACGCAAGATGTATTACAACACGTTGGTAATGTAATTCGTACAATTATAATGCATGCTTGATAAGTTTGAATACTTAGTATGTGCATATTTATTTGATACCATCCATCACAAAATGGTTATAAATTGAATTCAATTGCATTGAAAGGGGCCCTTCCAATTTTGGTCAAACTTTTCCATTTTCCAGGTCTTTTTGTAATTATATTTCGTTAGAAACCTGTTCTACCTGTTGTTCTAGACTTCCAGCCTTCATCGCTCTAGTCTTTAAAATAAATATCATTTTATTTTATTAATTTTTTGGTATTTAAAGAGATGCCATACACTGAAATCAAAGGTCGTACCGTTAATCCAATCATCATACAAATTTGTTGCCTGCCACATGTTGCCAGGATTTGTTACACGTTGCCAAGTAGAGGCCTATGTCCAGCAGCGCACTATTTGAGGCTGTTGATGATTATGATGTTGATGTTGCCAGGAATGTAGCAAAGGACTATTCGTATCTTGCCTGAGAGAAGAGATAACTTTTAAATTAGTTGTTGTTCCTCCAAGGAGTATCATTTATAATGATACTCCTTGACTAAACATTTGAATCATGTACTGCTTTTCAGCCTTTACGAAGAACAATTACATTCTCAAGGAAGGTAAGGCAGGCAGCTGAGAAAAGCTTAAAATCATTATGCAATGGAATGAAGGAATGCGTGAAAGAAGATATCTAGTGATACAGAAGAATGAAAAAAGAAAACTTATAAAACTATTACACCGACCCCAAATAAATTTTAAAGAAGCATAAGAAGATAATGACGTCATAAGTCAAAAAACTTTCTTTATAGGTTAAAATGTAAAAAGTAAATTGTAACAAAAAAAGTGAATTAAATTCATTTTATGGATAATAAAATTAAACTACGCTCCGTATTCATTTATTAAACAATTTAAATTTATAAATATTACGCCAGACGCTTTTACAAAGAGAGTTGAATGAATAAAAAAAGACACTTTCCCTTTTTCGACCAGACTTCATTTTAAAATGATGTAATTTCTTGTTAGTTCATATTGGATTTTGGAATTTAAATATTGATGAATAATGATTTGAATTCATTAGCGAATTTTTTGACTTAAATACAAAAAGCATTGAATTTTTAAGGTAATATAGTGTCAAAAGCTTCTTCTAAAGCATAGTCTACTCGTATACAAATAATACCAGTCTCTATGTGTACGTAATATTTTTTTTATGAAATGATGGAGGGATGGATGGCCAGGGGCCTATGATCAGCCAGTAGAAAGCAGGTTTTTGGTTTGGTTTGGTTCAAGTTTTCCTTCTCTTTATAGTGATGTTGTCCTGCGTAGTTTGCTCCATAGTAGGCTCTTACGACGCTTACGGGATGAATAGGGGTGGCGATACTCCGTATTCCTAATCCGTCTCATGGATAAGTACTTATTAATAACTCTTAACAAATTGAAATTTTAATGCTCTAGATTTTTGATTTAATAAATCGAACATTATATTTTATATATACAGCGCAACATGAATGCATGGATGGCGAGGTTGTTTAGCGGTCGCCACACCTCTTTCGATTAATTGGACTACGACTAGCATAGCATAAACAAAATATTTGTAGTCGAAAAAAAACCTTAAATAAATAGCCATATCTTCTTCTAACAAATTTACAATAACATAAGTATTGGAGTGTTTTATTTACATCGGAAAACAAAATTTCACTTACATCAGAAATTACACGTATTACACAATGCTCCGTAACAGAATTAGAGATTGTTCCAAAAGATACCTTCGCAAATTATCTTCGGCAAATTTTCACCCCATTGTTCTGTATGAGAAGCCGTTGTAATAGCCAAAACAATGGCAAAGTTCACCGGAACATAACGCAGAAAGTCTATAAAGTACTGAAGACTTTTATTGTTTTGTTAAAACAAGCATATAAGGTGAACAGGATAGTTGTGTTAATAGAAAGTGTATCAATGATCTGAATATAACAAAAATGAGTGCAAAAAATAATTTTGTCTTAGTGGTTCTTCTAATACTTGTTATTGAAGTGATTCCGATACAAATTGAACTTCAAGACGGTGAAGAGTTAAAAGGCAATAATATAGAGCAAACTCATTTAAATGAATGTCTGAGCACCAGAAGGGGTAATGAAGTCGGTGTCTGTTTTGGCAAAGAACTCCTAAACAAATTGAATACTTATGATGAAACTGATTCCTTCAGTTTGGCGACGGGTGTCAGTTTTGTAAGAGATGAGAAAACTCCAAGAGACATTGGAGCATTTCTTGATAAAGACCCTATGGATTTTCGGTAGAATTTATATTCATTTCAAGATAGCACAGCAAATCGTAGTCTACATAAACACCTTTATATCAAAAATAACATTTAAAAAAATTACAGTTAATATTATCATTTTTATCAGCATCTTTAATCTTTCTTGTTGTAACTTTTTTATGACAAAAATTCTGGCTAATTTGACAAGTTAATTTCATAAAACATTGAGACGTAGTTTATGCTAATGTCTATAAAACGCCTTAATTTCACTTTTTGTTTTTAATTATTCTATTATATTTTATAAGAAAATAACCTCAAGAAAATCTCAAGTTTACTTGTAGGTATTCTAAGAGACCCAAGTTGGTTTTACAATAAAAATCTTTCTGTACAGCTCCATAATTGAAGATGCGAGTCATCTAATTTCTAAAAGATCCCTACACTGGGACCTGAGTGCAGTCTACCCTGGACTAGTAATGAGGATAGCTCCAACGTTAGCCAATGGAGTACTTGAATTTGTTATGGATCCTAGAATCAAGGACAGGACGTATCAACAACCTACGGAAGTATCCACAGGTATATCTTTATACTAAGTAGTAAAATTTTTCTAATATTCTGTAGTAATGACCTCAAATATTGGCAGTTATTGAATAGCATCTGCTCAATTTTATTAAATACCTTAAAATTGCCATATGATACTAGTAATTTATGTTATTTATGTTCATCCCATTTCATTCAACCTTTAACATTCAACTGCCGGATTTATGCCTCTCTTTAGAAAGGTGGTTTTGGCCTAATATACCACGCTGGCCAGATGGGTTGGTAAAATGTCTTGTTTCTAGTTTTCCTTCTCTTTGCAGCGCTGTTGTCCTGCGTGATTTACTCCCTTAGTCAGCTCTTACGACACCCACGGGATAAATAGGGATGGTGAGTGTGGTGACACGTATTCCTAATCCCCTATTCTTAGTCACCACATGGATTGCCTAAAGCCTTTCGATTAATAAGCTTTTTAAGCCAACACAAAAATTTTTTTTCAATTTTAACCAGTAGTTCCTGAGACTACCGCGTTATAATATTAACATAGATTATAAAAAAATGATTTCTGAGTTTTTTTGTGTAGCTTGCCATCTTTTCTAAGTTAAGTCACTAAGTAAATTTCAGAACGGTCCCATGAATATTTGACAAACATGTCGATCTTTTGTCATAACAGAATAATTCGAATACTGTGTAAGGATAATTCAAAAACTGTGTAATGTTCTTTAATTTGGAGAGTTCCGAGTTTATCGTACCGACGACGCCATCAAATATTTCACATGAAGACACATTTTGTATAGGAAAATAAAATTGTTGTTTTTAATATTTTTCTTGCATTTGTTTCATATTTCCTCAAAGTTTAAAATTTCTCTGGACATTTGAAAATATTTCAAGACTAAAACTAGCCAAATTGGTCTAACTGTTCCTAAGTTTTAGTAAGACTAAAGAGCAGCAATTAATTTATATAAATAATAAGAATTTATATTTTTCTGGATAAGGTTTATCCATACTGCAGGTACTCCAGTAATTCCATTTTTTTCTCTTATCCTCTTCTATATGTCCAATTTTATTTCATGCATCACGATTAAGTGTGGATAGCATAGAAGTATTTTTTTATAAGTTTTATTATTTTGATACAGACTGGCTTTACGACTGACTGACACACAGACTGTGTTTAAATAAATAATAAAATAATATAATATTTCTCACACATCTCACACACGGCCGTCTGATCCCAATCTAGGCAGAGCCTGTGCTATGGTAACCAGACTGCTGATAAACATACTTATATATTTTTTAAATACATACATATTATAGATAAATTACACCCAGACACAGAACAAATAACCGTGCTCATCACACAATATTTGTCCTGGGTGGGAATCGAACCCACGACCTCCGGCTTAGCAGTCAGGGTCACTAACCACTAGACCAACAGGCCCGTCTTTGTTTCTTACACGTGATTTGTGTATACATTATTATTTTTAACTTGATTTCATTTATCCAAATATAATGTTATGCAAAGAACTATATTATAACATTTTACAAAAATTATAATTTACTTTTCTGACCAAATTACTTTGACGGCTTTTTCGGTATTATTGTAATTATTTTATTCTAAAACTCTTGATAACTTCATTTACGCTTCGTCGTTTGTGTTTTGCGCCATCTCTTTAGTGACTTTAAAACTAGTAATAGTTTCATTCAAGGCTTGCGTGATAATGAACTTGAAACCAAGCCATCTATCTATTGAGATATGAACTTCTTTGGGATTTATGCTCTGAGAAATAAATTGTTAACGTATTATTTACCGAAATTGCCCATTAATTTATCATTTTAAAGACGATTTGTTTATCCAAAGCCTTCCTGTAAGAAATTGTTTTTTAGCGATAAGGCCGCCATTTGTACATGGTCAATAATTATACTAAACTGGTGTACAATAAAGCTTATTCTATTCTTTTCTATGTATATTAATTTCATGTAGAATTTATTTTTCTCTTTTTTTATTAATAGCTACATACTTACTTATTTTTAAACTCTATGAACCGGTTTTCTGGTTCACCTAAAAAATGTAAAATTCAAAAAAGTTTGTTGTTAGTTATTAATGAAGACGTTTCTTTTATTTCCAGGTCGTCTTCTAGCACGAAATCTTCTGATACCGTTTCTACTCGGCTTCAAGTTCCAGCTATCTACTTTATTACCATTAGTATTAGGTCTATTACTGATTGCTAGTAAGAAGGCCTTTTTACTGGCCAAGCTAGCATTACTGGCTATAACTGTATTCAGTTCTGGATTTGGCAGTCAAGGATCGTTCTTCGGAGGTGGACCATCTGTTTCTTCTCCCTATACTTCATACGAACCAGCAACATATCACCATGATCACCATGATCATCACTCTTCAGGTTAGTTTCAACAGTTTTATTTAAATGTAAATAGGTAAAGCAAATGTAAAGGGCATTCGTGTACATAATATGTTATGGATATTAATATAAGTAGTATAGTTTATAATAATGAATAGAGTTACTACACTATTGTCTTAGGTAGGAACCAATAATAAAAATAAATAAACATTGACGTAGACAAAGTAATAGAGGATTATATAGCTCTGGGTCACCCCAAGTTCGACTTGGAGAAAATGCCTACGGCATTAAGTCCGCCTTTGCCACATTTGTGCATAAAGTATAAATAAATAAATGGAATCCTACAAAATGTATGATTCCATATAATCCTCTATACTTTATGTACTAAATTTCCTTTTGTATATGATTATTGATTGTTTATGCATTAGCATACCTTTTTTTAAATCTTTATGCCATCGTAAACTTCTAAATCAAGAGATCCTGCTTTTATTGTTCATGGTTGTTCTAAATTTTACAAAACAGTAATAGTTCTATTACATTTCATACGATTTCTCTCATACTTTCTAAGAAGCTTAATAACTAGCGACATCTAGCGTGAACTCTCGGAGACATTTACAAAGTTTCCGTTTCCGATAGGTGCAATGTCCTCTTGCCGGTGCACTGTAGCAAAGCCTTCAAATGACATATTCCAATTTAAGTATTCTGGACCTTAACAACCTATTTTTAACGTTGAAAATGCCTCTTAATGGACTATGTGAGTATTTTGAGGATTCACGCTTTATTGGAATATTAGGATGCAGTTTAGATTTTTTCCTTCATTTAATTATTATTATTAAATTATTAACTGCCTTCGAAAAGGAGAAGGTTATCAATTCGTTTTTTTATGCGCATGTTACGATACCTTCGCTGATAGACAAGAATTAACTTTTTTTATTAGTTGTACCCAAAATACCACCATGATTTAAATTAAAAATTCTACGATGGTGAATAAATACTCTAAATTTACAATGTGACTTTTTTAAATAATGTAATAATTTAATGGAATAAATACAAAATTTACTTATCTCTATCCGTTAATCTTTCTAAGTCTAGTGGTTAGTCTGACTGCTGACCTAGAGGTTGTAGATTCCCTTCCCACCCAGCACTAATAATTGTGCAATAACACTTCTTGTCTTTGTGTCTGGGTACTTTTATTATTAATATGTTTTTAAATTATAAATACATTCATAAGTATGTTTATGAGTTTGACCGCACGGATGGCGTAGTGGTTTAAGTTGTCGCCACGCTGCGTTGTGGGTTCGATTCCCACATGAGAGAAAACTTTGTGTGATCCACAAATTATTGTTCTGAGCCTGGTTGTTCTTTGTGTCCGTTTCATGTATGTTTGTAAAGTCCTATATATCCCATATGATCCTAAAAAAAATATCATTATTAAATTATCAGACGTCTTACTAAATCATACTTTTCAGAGCATAATTAATTAAGACATCAGATATTTTAGATCCCAAAAAATTCTTAGTTTTATTTTGAAAATATCTAAAAATCCCTGTAACATCAATCTAAATTTTCCAGGTTATTATCGCCGCCAGCCGCCTCCAGACCATTACTATCGTGAGAAATCATCAGAACCAACTACAGCCTCACCAATAACCCCAGGAGAGCTAAGAGATAGGCTGGAACGTCTCTTTGTGACCAAGAAAGAGAACAACAACGACGCGAGAGATGATGTTAGTATAAGAAATGCAAGAAACTTTCAATGGACTCCTATTAATACCGGTTAATTATAAGAAAAGAAAGAAAAAGAAAGAGAAAAGAATATAGCTTTGCTTGAGTTTATTAGAAGCAGTTTTAAATAGGAAAAGTAAAGCAATAAAATTGGGGAACATTTATTTTGTAACCAAGTCATTCATCATCATCAACAGCCTTTAATAGTCCACTGCTGGACATAGGCCTCTCCTTAGAAAGGAGGTTTTGGCCTACTATACCACGTTGGCCAGACGGGTTGGTATAGGGTTTATTTCAAGTTTTCCTTGTTTTTGCAGTGCTGCTGTCCCGCGTAGTTTACTCCCTTGTTAGGCTCTTACGACACCTACGGGATGAATAGGGGTGGTGACACTCTGTATTCTTAATCCGCCACCACACGTCATTGAATCAGCAAAATTGCTAAATACCTAAAGGGCTTGCTTTTCTGCGCCTTCACTTACGTCAAAATCACTAGCTGCAACTTTTACTGTAACTTTAAAGTACCATTTTATCGCCTTTTCTGTACCTCTTAATGTGTTTGCAAATATTCATGATACGCAATGGAGCAATTATGACATTGAAAGCGTAACAAACCATCCTGTCCGTGTAGTGACCGATTAAGAATACGGAATGTCACTACCCCAATTCATCCCGTGGGTGTCGTAAGAGCCGACTAAGGGCGAAAAAAACCGCAGGACAGCAACACTGCAAAAAGAAGGAAAACTTGCCACAAACCCTATACCAATCTGTCTGGCCAGCGTGGTATAGTAGGCCAAAACCTCCTTTCTATTGAGAGGCCTATGTCCAGCCGTGGACTAGTAAAGGCTGTTGATGTGATGATGTGATGTGAACAAACCAAACCAAACACTAAATGAGAAGGGAAGTTTGAATTGCATGCTTATTTCCACATTCATTTGAAAGCAGGAATCTACAAATGTTTAATTCTTAGCTTTTGTAAATTTAGGGGTGTTTTAAAGTCAGACAACTTAAAATTCTGTAGATATCCCTTTTGGACTAGCCTTTTTTACGTGTTGAAGATTCGGAGTGTCGGCACTCCACCCGAGTTTGCGGCGGGGCGGTGTGTCAGAATCGAACCGACTAAAACCACACGGTGTGCCACTCTGGGTGGATCTCGGAACGGCTGTTATTAAGACGTCTGGACCCCTATTGAACTAGCCTGTCGCATGCTACATTTTCTTTTCAGTTACTACAAAGGCGTAATTTCTGACTTATTTTCCTCTTAATATAGTCACTTTACTTGCCTCTGTCTATCCCAATAGAGATGAATGTATGTATTAGTACAGTCAAGGAAACGAGATAATCTCAAAAAACTGATTTTTGTGACCTTTGATTTTTTTTTCTTTTTATGGAATAGTGGGCAAACTAGCAGACGGGTCACCTGATGGAAAGCGACTACCGCCGCCCATGAACGCCTGCAACTCAGGAATTTGAATGTCTAAGGACGCTGACACGTGACCATATGTGAATTTTGAGACAACATTTGTACTATCAAAAGATTTCTACAGATATTCAGCATAATCCGTTAGATTCTAAAGTAAAACCCTAAGATGACTGGACCATCATGTGTTTATGTATTTTATAAAGCTGCCTCTAAGAAACTTAAGTTTCTTAGTGTCATTGTTATTTTAGGAAAACAATCGTAATAACTTTGTTTACATTTAAATTAAGATCAATCTTTTTTTTTTAACCTGACACATCACACACGTCTGTCTGATCCCAAACTAGGCAGAGCCTGTACTATGGTAACCAGACTGCTGATAAACATACTTATATATTTCTAAATACAAACATATTATAGATAAATTGCAGCCAGACACAGAACAAACGATCGCGCTCATCACACAAATATTTGTTCTGGGTGGGAATCGAACCCATGGCCTCCGGTTTAGAAGTCAGGGTTGCTAGCCATTAGACCAACAGGCCCGTGACCCAATGTGTATGTTTAATTATAAAATAGTGTTGGTTAAGTTTTTTACTTTAATTAATTTATATGATTCAGAGTCCCAATGATTATTTTTATACTTTTAAATGACTGAAATAACTGCTGTAGTAAGGAACCAATAAAGATATTTACAACGCAACATATTCAGCTTTAAACCCTTCTAATACAAACTTATAATAAATATTATGTTTATTAATTAACTGCTGACATTTAAATTAAGTATTAATTTTATGTATTTCTTAAATACTTGTATTAGAACTAGTCACCAGAACTTTGACTTGTAATTTGACCGTGTGTATTTTTTTAAATTAATAAATAATTTAATGATTTAATTAATAAACATTTATAAAACAATTGTTGACTTTTATGTGTATTTTTTTCCAGAAATCGAAAAAGTAGAATGTAAGTTTGTTTTTTATGGTATAGGTGGCAAACGAACAGTCTGATTACTTGATAGTACTGTGGACTGAGCCATAAGTGCGTTGACGTCCTTTGTGTCCACTCTAGAATTATGTGTACTTGGGCTGTGTGGGTCCTGCCCGGTGCTCCACCGTGGGATCTGGAGGCCTGCGGCTCTGTATCAGTGGCGCAAGGAGGCGCGGGAGTTGGGTCGGAGTCTTGAGTCTCGAGAAATCGAGGAACAGAAATCCCAGCTCCGCCAGGTCTTCGTGGAGGAGTGGAAGGAACGACTTGGGCAACCGAGCGCTGGGCACGCCGTTATCGCGGCGGTAAGACCCGTTATGGAGGTTTGGCTCGGGAGGCATCACGGAACCCTCTCATACCGACTGACGCAGGTGACCACCGGCAAAAGATGCGTCGGAGATCACCTGAGTGCCACCTCTGGTGGTATCCGAGGGTAGTTCTGCACAGGAAAAAATAAATAAAAAAGGATGGTGACACTCCGAATTCGTAATCTATCACCACACGGATATATATCCCTTGGTATATAAAAACATTAAAAACTCAATCATTTATTAATTAAAAACCTAAAATTATAGTTTAATTGTCTTCAACCATTAACTTCACTTCGAAACTCATAACTTAACTAGCGAATGTGTATTTTCTAATTAACCCACTAAGTACATTTAATTATAACCGCACTAACACATTTCTTCGTTAAAAGAAAACCACGGTACATCCTGTGTCTGTCATTTCACGGTCTAATTGCAAAGAAAAAACTGCACTACAAGGAACTACTTCTGATTAATAATTGGAAAAAATATAAACTACATACATGATACACCTTAAATGTTAATTTTAACTTGAAAACTATCTGATATTTTATACAAAAGTGATATAAGTATCAAGGGTAAGAATAGGTCATCACATCACATCATCAGCCTTTAATAGTCCACTAGTGGACACAGGCCTCTCCTTAGAAACGAGGTTTTAGCTTACTATACCACGCTGGCCAGACGGGTTGGTAAAGGGTTTGTGTCAAGTTTGTTTTTACACCGCTCTTGTCCTGCATAGTTTTTAGTCGGCTCTTACGACACCCACGGAATGAATAGGGGTGGTGACACTCCGTATTCTTACTCCGTCACCACACGGTTAGAATAGATAAATATATTTATTTTGCTAGCAGTACCCCGCCACGCTTCACTATGTCACATTGTGGCTGCATTGATAAGAAAAGAGGAACGATCTTTAAAGCTTTTTGTATATCGTGTCAAAATATGAGTCCAATCGGTGCAGAGCTTTTTGAGTTTTTAAAGCGTAAATAAACCAACTTAACATTTTTTTATATTAATAGATTTGTATACTACAGGATTGAAGTTTAAGTAATCTTCCTCTCTCAGTCGCTTCAAATTATCGCAGTCAAATTATCTTTGTGCTATCATGTGGATGACAACACGAATCGTCATCTTACCGAGGCTAAACGGGATGGTTGTATGACTTAAAATACAGAATGTTCTTTCAGTTCGTATTGCCGCATCATCCGCACGCCGTCTCGGGTACTAATAGCCGGGGAACAGGTATACCCTAGAAAGGAAGTCCCTGATGCAAGGCATCAGGTGTACCCTAGAAAAAAAAAACTCATGTTTTTATGATCTGCAAATATTTATTTTGGAGTTTAAGTATTTTATATGTAAAATATTAATGTATTTAAAATTTAATATAAGTATTCTATCAGTCAATCTAGTTTTCTTAGTACAAGCTCTGCTTAATTTGAAACTAGATGGCGTTGTGTGTTAGATATCCAAAAATATTATTATATTATTATTATTACTTATAAACCCCCGCAAACTTTAGCCACCTATTAAGCAAGGCGACTCCTGAAGAGATGAGCGCAAAATATATTTTGTCTGTCCTGTCAATCAAAATCAGGTAATTTTTTTAATACAACGTTTGAAAGATACAACAACTTATTTCTTTCTTACCGTTAGATCCTCTAGTCTCCAATGGCATAGCGAGTGCTAGTTTATAAAGCGTTACCATAGCTCAGTGAATACTTTCAATAGTTTTTACATGGATGCCAATCAGCTATATTTAGGTATCGCGTGCGCTATAGTTTTGCGTGAACACACCTGGCTTTCTCGGTTTTCTTTGATAGAATTCTTCGTTTGTTTTATCTGAGTAACCATTTGTTTTACTAACGGGTTTTCTTGGAATTTTATTACAATACAATATATAGTATACTTATGTTTTGTTATAAGTAAGTAATAATGACAGTCGGGGAGAATACACAGCGTTTTCAATTTTATATGTTTAACCTCATGACAACCAGACCAAGACTATAGTGCATTGGACAGAGTGCATTACAATATTTATTTATGGTACAGCCAGTAGTTGTTAAATTATCTGTATACTAGTAATATGAATGCGAAAGTTTGTATCTGTCTGTTACCTCTTCACGCTTAAACCGCTAAACCGATTCAGATGACATTTGGTACAGAGATCTTCCAAATTCCGGGAAAGGTCATGGCGTAGTTTTATCCCACAAAACATCCTTTTAGGGGGTGATGATGAGGCACCAGGGACTTCCTTTCTAGGGTATACCTGGTTCCCCGGCTATTAGTACCCGAGACGGCGTGCGGTTTTAGTCGGTTCGAGTCCGACATGCCACCGACAGGTGGTATTCGAGGGGATTTCCTCACGGAAAAAAAAATAATAAAAAAATAGGGTGATGATGAAAGATGAAAAGTATGATATCTTCATACTTTTCATCTTTCATCATCACCATCATTGCTTATTATTATAGGAAAGACATAGGCTAATTTTACCGCAATAACCGACATTTACGCGGGCGGAACCGCGGGCACTAGCTAGTTACTAAAATCTCCATTCCATTGTGGTTAATGAACAACATTTTAAGAAGTCATGTCATGCATAATAGAATGACACTATAACAATCTAAAAATAGAAAATCTTCTATGTGAGTTTAACAATAAATTGAACAAACATAATAGTTATTCTAGGGTGTTTCAGTGAAAGTGAACCAGACAGCTATATATTATTGACTAGTTCCAATAAATCATTTAATCTAAATACATATTAAATTGATATGCTAGATGCGGAATAGAGGGAACCATGTCATCAAGACCCACAAAATATTTTAATATCCATATGAGCGTGTTAGTGGGTGTAACAGAAACACTGATTAAGAATTCCTATACTCGTAGGCTATTCTAAACGCGCCAACGTCCATACCATGTTGAATAGACCGGTTCTCGTCCGATCACCGAAGTTAAGCAACATCGGGCGTGGTTAGTACTTGGATGGGTGATCGCCTGGGAATACCACGTGAAGTTTGGCTTTATGTATTCTGGGGGACCTGAAATCACATGGCCCGGGTTCTCCCCAGAGCAGGGCGCCTAAGGCTGGCCGGCGTAGTGGTTTTTAGTGGAATCACCACATACTCCTGGCTCCTATATCCCCAAGGAGCCGGAGATCCGAAGGGATTTTCCACTCCGTCAACAAAAAAAAAAAAAAAAGGCTATTCTAAACGCAGTTAGAGCAAGACTAGACCACTACATATAACTGTCTGTGTATAAAATGTCTTACCGCGCGGAGCTTTTGTCGCACCGCGCGGTAAGGGCGACCCCAGGGGTCACGATTAAGACCCTCCAGCATCTCCTGTCTCTTTTCCTCTTTGGCGCGGCTAATGGCCAGCTTCAGAGTTTTCCGAGCCCGTCGGTACTCCTCATGAAGCCGGTCCTCCTCACCGTCTCCACGGTGACGCCGCCGACTGCGCGTGTAGGACCTCCGGGCACGTGTACAGGCCGCACGGAGGTCCGCCAGCTCCTGGGAACAACAACAAACCCTATACCAACCCGTCTGGCCAGTGTGGTATAGTAGGCCAAAACCTCCTTTCTAAGGAGTGGCCTATGTCCAGCAGTGGACTATTATAAACTGCTGATGCTTATGATCAGCAGTCTCATTACCATACCAATCTGATAAACACAGGCTCTGCCTATTTGGAATAAGACGGCCATGTGTGAGATGTCTCTAGCTATTAATATTATTACCTGTAAGAATATAGAAGACTACCTATTCCCGCGGTTTCGCTCACGTGTTCCTGTTTCTAACTTCGAACATGCAACCGTCCTTCTAATAAATTTACCATTAAGGTTGAAATTTCTCAGTAGGTGGTAACAACATAAAAAGCATCAGATGCCAGTATTTAAAGCTTTTAACCCCAGCGGTTTAGGCTCTACGTTGATGAATCAGTCATTCAGGACAAGTAATATTATATGTAAAGATAAAAAATCATCACGTCATCATACCTTTAATAGTCCACTGCTGGACATAGGCCCCTCCTTAGAAAGTCATGCACCACGGAAATTATCAACCTTGTAAGGTGGATCACGAAGAGTTAGTCAAGCGTAAAAGTAGAAAATTGTCAAGTGGCATATCAGCTTATTCTGACAATTATCCAGAAACAATTTACAGTATGCAGTTTTAAAGTCATTTTAAATGTGTGTGTCTCTGTAGTGTATGTATTATTTTAAGTGTAACCTTTTCATAAATATATTTTATAATTTAGAATTATAATTTGGACACAATTAATATTTGATAATTATTAATTAAATATAGAAAAGATATAATTTATTTATATATAAAATATTAAATATTTTAATATATCGATATAAGTGCTCATATAAATAGATATGATGCTTATTACGGTTATATGCCCACTTATATGCATATTTTTATTCATGTTTAAGAAATAATTTATTTCAGGTAATGTGAATACTTAACCAAATCCAAAACAACAGTACAAAATTTCAATATATTTTATTACTTGTCATCTTCAAACAAACAGAAAGAAAATAAAACAAACATTAAGTTTTTATAATTTTGTTTTCGATTAACATTCCTCTTTCGCATTATGAATATTTTTCATCATCGTATATAACCTTACATTTAATAAATTATCATTACAAATTATAGATCTAAAAGTACGCCATTATTATTGAGGATATTATTTAAATAAATAATAGGTACTCGCGTAACCACCTCGTTGATTAACGACTTAATTATTCAATAAATAGTAAAAAATAATAATTAATTACCTACTTATTCTAAACAGCACCGTCTAAATATAAAATTATCTCTAAATAATAAACTTATAACTATTTTTACAAAATTGGACAAACGAATGAGAAACAGAAATGCACAGTACCCGTCGACTAGCCTAATTAATTATTATTATCATATTTATAAATGATTATTATTTGGATAGTTATAACATTAATTAATAATTCACATTATAATTTGGTGCGTTTGATTACACATTATCTGACCACTGAACTAAACAACATTTGCAAAATTATTATATATTCTTATGTACTTAATAATTATTTAATAATCCTTATTATGCATTTATTTATTAAATAATTAATTTACGCTACAGAAGAAATAACTTAATTATTGAACTACCTAGTGTCGTTGAATAAACATTAAAATAAATTATATATTTTTTGATTAAACATTTATTCTTATTATGCCCTTGCAAAAGGACCAAAACACAGTTTTAAATAATTTAGTACTGGCACTAAATGCCGTGTCGTTGTAAATTTGTAAATCTAAGGGAGTCGTAAGCCTGTTTTCTTGTTTGGAGCCTACTGTTTCTTTGCATAGGCCTTATATGCCCTATCCTGAGCAGCTGCTTCTTCTTCTACACTCCTTCTGTAGTGACCACCAGGTCCTGTGGTGTCAAAATCATTGCCGTAATGGGATGATGTATACGTGTGACTTTGGGAAACCTGAGGATGCTTTACAATCTCATAAGTAGTTTTCTCGTGTGACTCGCCACCAGCAACAAGTTTCTTCAATCCGATAATTGCAGACAACAGAAGAGCTATTTTACCAATAAGCAAAGCCTTGCCAGCGATCATCGCAATTGCTTGGAATGCAATAGCTAAAAATCCACCCTTAATCGCCAGACCAGCGAGTATAGGTCCCATCATTTTCTTCAGCTTACTTCTAGCCTCATTCATGGACCGTCCTATATCTTCACCTACCTCCATAGGAGATATATAGACACGATGAGTTTGCATCAACTTAGTGGTTGCCAACTGCAAATATTTATCAAGCTTATCAGATGATAACGCGTATAGATCTTCATCATCTGGAATGGCATTAGGGGATGATCTTGCTGCATCAGGTTTCTTCACTAAAGAGAGCCCATCCAGAAGCGGTAAAGAGTCCATCCGGGCTGCTCTATCTGCTAATTTCACGGCCTGTATCTTCAAGCACTTAACAATCTCCTGAGATTTTTCGCAGTTATCGTACACCTTGCCCAAAAGCCTCAGACTGGCTCCGAAGGTGTCAGCAGAAGCGGAGAGCACACAAAAACACAACAGGACAATACCGCGGCACTGCATCTTGTTAAAAACCGCGGGTGTCCCTTCGACGTGGACGAAATGGAGATAGTGGACGTTGTCCGACTAATGCGCTTGCGCCTAAAGAAATGTGCCCCTTGAATATGTGCACTGGCATTTATCTATTTTCACCGGGAACTGCGTTTATCTATAAATCTTTTAGAGCGTGCAATCGTTGCATCGTATGGTCGTGCACTGAGCCATGTATATGCACATCGGAGATACACTTGTGTGGGCTTTGGCGCGAGTGTATGAGTGTCAGTCATCGATCCCATGCTGACGATGCAGATGCAGCCAAGGTCGTTGTCTTAGTTTCAGGATTTTCTTAATAAACCCAAACAAAACTACATATATTTTGATAGACATACTAGGTATAGTTAAAAATTTGAGTTATACAAAAATTTGTATAACATATGTATGATGTAACATATGTATAAAAATTTGTACAGAATTGAGAACCGACTACTCTTTTTAAGTCGCTTAAAAAATATTGTACCTGATTATTAATATTATTGAAAAAGGAATTGACTTTTAGAGTTTTTAGTTTTTAAGTACAAAATTATTATAAACGAGACGACGTCATACCTAGAGAGCTTTTAATCATCATCATCAAAAGACATCCATCCAAGTTTTGAATCCAAATTTCATGTCATAAACATTGGTATATTGGTTTCCTGTTGTCAATAGTAAAAGCAGCCCACACTTTTTTCCAAATTTATTAAAATTTATTTTCTATTTTTTAGTTTGGTTTTATATAAAAAGCGTGTTTTTTATTTTTTTTTACAATTTTTATTTTTTTTATTTTTTAAATTAGTGTATTGTCATCGGTCCTCGATATATCTACAAAGTTTGAAGGAATTCTGACCGTTTAAAGTCAGTCAAAATCACGCCCAAAAGAGTCGGTTACAAACAAACATACAAACATACAAGTGAAGCTAATATAAAGCGTGTAAAAACATGTTCATAAAATTTATAACTGTCGAAGACCGCGGTGTGATATACCTCCAACACAAAGTAAGGATCTTCCGACTACGCCGAGATGATCATGTCTGGCGGACCGTGACCCAACGGTTATTTTTATAATATTGTATTCAGTATGCTGATCGACGCGAGAACTTTTATTCCGCGATACGGAATCATTAGTTCGGTTTATCTTCGTTAAATGACATTGAAGTATATTTGTCGCTTTACATGTATAGAAATCTCCACATATTTCATTTTAAAACCAAGAGCAGCGTGAGTAAATGACTATGAAATTCGGCTGGCGACCGAGTGCAGGTACTTCCCAATGGACGACGACCGGCACCTCCACGAGCTATTGTAGTTCGGCAAGCGGCCTTACGCCACTAGCGTACCTCTTTAGGCGGGGACGGATTGACGCTCCCATGGGAGATTTCCGGTCAACGCGCACGCCACCTCCATGGACACGGTGCCGTAACTACGTATGGCTTTAATCGCCAATATCCTCTGAGAGATATCCTCTGCCCTGTTCTGGGCGGTCAGAGCCGCCGGCCACATCGGACACCCCCGTGTACAGCCGTCTTAAAGCGACGCTGGGCCTGCCCAAATTGGGCAAAAGTCACCCAAGGACAAGCAAGCCTTCGGAAGTGCTCGTCGATGAGTCACCTCCTGTCAAGGATCAGGTTCAGATACTTCATCTGTGCCTGAACCGATGCAACGACCGCATTGACCATAATTGAGGAACCGGGGGTGAACCACGACAGGGCCCACGTAATAAGAAGGCCTCCGTATTATCCGTAAAGCCAAGTCATCACGTATGTCCCCCGCCAGATCAATCGGGTATACTTTTTGGAATTTTATGGCATTGACTCTAATTTCTGCCACAGACATTGTATCCAATTTGATTCGTGTCATAAGAAGTTTTGCACTTCCTTAAATTACCTAATAATTGGTCGCATATTGGCAGAAGGTATTAACTCTGAAACATCTTTGTAACACAATTTTTCCCTTGTAACACGCATCTTCTTGTTCCTTGTGTTTATTGATTTGTAAAGCCGTTTTAATTTTATCATTCTCAGCCCACAAATATCAGAAAACCTAGCAACAGCCTTTAATAGTCCACTGCTGGACATAAGCCTCTCCTTAGAAAGGAGGTTTTGGTCTACTAGAATATAAGTCATCACTAATCGACTATCGAACTGCACAAAACTATATAATAATAATAATAATAACTTCACACATCTCACACACGGCAGTCTGATCCCAAACTAGGCAGAGCCTGTACTATGGTAACCAGACTGCTGATAAACACATACTTATATATTTTTAAATACATACATATTATAGATAAATAACACCCAGACACAGAACAAATGATCGTGCTCATCACACAATATTTGTCCTGGGTGGGAATCGAACCCACGACCTCCGGCTTAGCAGTCAGGGTCACTATCCACTAGACCAACAGGCCCGTCAATATGACGTCACTAATGGCGTACTGGTTTAAGCGGTCACCCCTCCGCTTCCTACTACGCTGAGTGTTGTGGGTTCGATCCCCACATGAAACAACACTTTGTGTGATCCACAAATTGTTGTTCTGAGTCTGAGTGTACTTTGTGTCCGTTTTATGATTGCCGATAAAGTCCCCGCGACACAGGATTTATTCCTAATGCGGGAGTTGTCTTTCACATCACATCATCACATCAACAACCTTTAATAGTCCACTGCATGACATAGGCCTCTCCTTAGAAAGGAGGTTTTGGCCTACTATAGCACGCTGGCCAGACGGCTTGGTATAGGGTTTGTGTCAAGTTTTCCTTCTTTTTGCAGTGCTGTTGTCCTGCGTTGTGTTGCGCCCTTAGTCGGCTCTTACGACACCCACGGGATGAATTGGGGTAGTGACATTCCGTATTCTTAATCCGTCACTACAGGGACAAAAAATATTTCTTTATAAAAAAATTTTTCTTGAACAATTAACTCTTAACTTTAAATGATGATGGGGTTTTAAACCCACATCTACTCGGCCCAATGCTAATACACACTGTTCGAATAAAAAAAAATGTCAGAAATTTAGAAAATTTGACTATTTCCTTTACTGACTGCTAGATAAACATAATTAACTCGCTTTCCATGAAATAATGATTGGTAGCCTAATTCAATATTGCCCTACTTCTACTAATTCTGAATGATGGTACAACATACCCTCAGTTATTGAAGGAGTCAGGGCACAGCGGATTTCAGCTATAATTGGAACGCCTCCATTTTCTTTCCCATTAATTATAATTACTAGTGGTCGCCCAGTGGTCGAAATTCGACCATAGTTCATTTAATTTTAAATTTTGTTCTCATTCATTTTATTTTGTCAAAGATTAATACCTCTTTTAAGAAAGGTTTTATATTTATTATAAAATTAAACTACAGTTTGAACATAGAAGCGGCGGTAGCCTAGAGGTTAAAGCGTTGGACTTGCGATCAAGAGGTCGTGGGTTCGAATCCTGACCCGTACACTACCGACGTAAACCCACTCCTAACTCAAGCAATTTAGCTTAGCGGGAGGGGTTAACGAAAATACTAGTAATTTCGGTTGCTAGTAGACCTTTAAAAAAAGTTTTTAACCATGAATAAAAGAGCAATTACGGTAGGCATGTGTTGTGTGTCATTCAAGCAGTAGTGTGTGTAATGTTTATTTTAATTAATTTAATGTATTTCTAATGCATTTTACATAAAAAATTGTCTGTGTCAAATTTCTCGTTCAATAATTTTCTTTAGATTTTATACTAAACTAATATATTACTGTCTATACTATTAAACAAAATATTTTACTTAAATTATACGTAAGTATTTATGTATAAATTCAGCAGCTTCCTACTGCGCTGAGTGTTGTGGGTTCGATCCCCACATTAGTCAAAATGTATTCCTAGTACGGGAGTTTTCTTATTTTACAAAAAAATATTTATTACCTATATAATAATAAAAAAACTGCACTAAGACCGTTACCAGACTTCTTATAAACATACATACGAGTATAAATTTCTAAATATATACAGAACAAATAAGCACGGTCATTTGCTTGGTGTTCTGTTATCACACAATTAAGTATTTAGCTTGGATCTGATTCGAACCCACGACCTCGGGCTTAGCAGTCAGTAGCACTAACCACTTGACCAACAGGCTAGGCAACATGTACGTATTCCATTACTGTGTTCTGTTACTGTAAATAAGTAGGTATAAATAATTATTAGTAATCATAATGAAATCACGTAATAGCATGTCTTAATTTAAAATTTCTTAAAGTAAAACTGCTAATCTATACTATAAATAACAAATTAATTACATACCAATATGCACGCGATCTTAGCAAGGCCTTGATTTACATAGCATGCATACATCCGTGTGGTGATGGATTAAGAATACAGAGTGCCACCACCCTTATTCATCCCGTTGGAAGGCAGCAAACTACGCAGGACAACGGCACTGCAAAGAAAAGGAAAACTTGACGCAAACCCTATCTGGCCAGCGGGGTATAGAAGGCCAAAACCCACTTTCTAACGAGAGACTTATGTCCAGCAGTGGACAATGATTGATTTACTACTGGTTTTTTTAAAGTAGAATGAACTTGAATGATGACAAATATTTTTTTATTTATTTATAGGTATATGAAAGAAATTTATTAAAAAGTTGTTCTAACAATAAAATAACAGTGGAAGAGCCATGGGGTAAGCTGTGTTCAACACATATGACTCAGTTCTACTGAAGTGATATTACGAACTTACAGAAAAGCTATGCTTTTGTTGATTTTCACCGAGATATTGAAGTTACCGGGGAGCTGAACCACCCCTACATCTCTCCTCCTAATTCTGGAGACGAGGGGCTAGTTACGTATGTCCGGGATGGATGGAGGTAGTTACTTACCATCAAATCCGAACCGTCTGCTTATTTGCTTCGCCTTCATTTCATAAAAAACAAAAGAACAATATTAGGCAAATAGGTGCAGCTGTTTAGAGTTACGTTCTAACTGACATTTAAATAATGTTATTTTCTTG